TCGTATAGCTTCGATATAACGATACCTCCCCATACATTATTCACCGTTTATTTCAAGTTTCGAATTTGAATATGGTAATGGCTTATGACAAACAACACCTATTTAGGTCCACGTCGTATAGACCCCAATATAACGGCTATATTCGGTATTGTTAAGATTTTCTCAGAATTTTTAACGGATTTTATAAAAATTCCCAAATTCTTTCCAAATAGTGGAGGGTATTCAAAGTTCGGCCCAGTCGAACTTACTGCTTTTTGAGTTGTTATATATTAACTTATGGTGGAGAATCAGTCTCTAACGATATTGTTCTTGATATTTAATATTAAGTACAAGTTAAAATATCAGAAATACTTATTTTGATATTGTATTTACTCTCCGAGGAATTGTTCCCCTTTTTTAATGTGACGGTTTTCATTTGAGATTCTTATTTTAATTCCTCCCCCAAAACGTATGTTTTGTCACTGCATAACCATCTACTGCATTTCGGTTTTTTTCTGAACTAGATTTCAACAAATAACGATTCAATATTCAATGCTACAAACTTGCATTTATAATAAATGGATCATGAAAACAATTTTCCAATTGGTTTTTCATGGCAATACGGAAATTCATTTTTACATTGGATCGAAAAAGAAATCCCAAAGACACTTCTCTTCACCTGGCGAATATTGCATAAATTACTCTAATTTTCCAATGATATATTAAATAACCCAAGCACAAAATGAAAAAAAAATCGCCAAGCTTTGAAAACAATGCCACAGAGAAGCTGATCAGACAGATCGACTCGTCTAGATAAAGATCATCACCAGAGCAACATCATCAACGCCAGCAGCAGCAACAATAGCTATCATGGACGAGAGACAGACATAGAGGCAGACAGACAAGCAAAGTGCCGGAGGATAAACCAAAAAACAAACGAAACGATATAAAGCAAAAACAAACAGTAAAAATACATTACGCAAACAAGATTAAAATGAAGATAGTGAGGCACACGTACCCAATACAACTCAGCAGCAGCAGTGGTAGATAGCGGTGTTGTTGTTGTTGCTGCTGCAACCATAGAATATTAATGTTTTGATCTTGACGCCACACAATCATAAATGTGGGAAACAACACAGCTGGACACCCGGCCAACAACAAAACAAGTAAACGACATTAGCTTTACACCGCGGCAAAATCCCATCTCACACAGATGACAATAACAAATTTCCAAAGGAAAAACCACCACACAGAAGCAATAACTACAACAAAAACAACAGCAACAACAAAAGTAATGTCACCTCTACCAAAAACTAAAACAATTAGTAAAAATTATTTGATGTTTAAACTAAACTAAAAAAGTGTACAAATCAAGGAACTAGAATGCTGCCTACGGACTGAGAGACCAGCAGACCAGACAGACAAAGAGTTGGATAACTTGGCTACCAAGAAAAGGGAGATGTAATAATAAAGATAAATGCGTGACTTGGTGTAAGGCACGCGTTGAAAATATCACAGTCCGGAGTAATAATCACGCCATCAAATGTAGCAACATCAAATTGTAATTGCAGTCTAGGTATAACCCAGTAAACGATTTGGTATGAGTTTGATGAAAAGAATGGGGATCGTGAGGGAGATGAATAAGAAATTACAACAAATAAGTAGTAAAGGCAAGAATAAAATATGTGTCTAGGAAGGAGTCATTTTTTGAGAATTCGGAAAATCAGAATCAATTATCTGGCAAGAGGCTCTATGGTGTAGGAGTAAATAAAAAATCGGGTTTGAGCATATTTCAGGCCCCGTACTTTAGCGGACTCCAGTGGACCCAAGTACAAGACCCTGGCACGAACCCCTGGGCAAAATATGAATATTTCTCCACATCAAATGCAGTAAAAGGAAAAAACCTGACCCTTGATTGCGTCGCAAATTGATTCAGAATTTTGTTCATGGCCTTCGATGGCAGACATATTTGTATTAAGGTTGTTACAACAATATTACCAATATTGAGTCCATTAAACATTTTTGGAAGGAGAAATTTGCTTTGGGAGAGGTGAACCTAAACTTATGTTGTGTCCATCCTTCATATTAATGTTACCTTCGACTACTTTTTTTTGCCTTTGGAGGGGAGAAATATTGCATTTCCTTAAATTTCCTGTCTTACCAATAAACCTAGAATTGTTTGAATAATATATATTTTTTTTGGGTATGACCTAAAAATTGTTCACTGGGATGTCTTCAATTTAAGAACATTTTTTGTTGTTTTTGGTTTTTATTTCATAAGGGCTTATTAATGGTTAATATGTTGGCGTTGCAATGACAATGTTTGTTGATTACACAATTATTAAACGGAAATGATGCTGAAATGGACATAAAAACCACCACCGCCACCTCTGACGCCGCCAACAACAGCACTCACCTCCATCTAATGATGACGATATTGTGCAAGGGCTCGTTGATATTAAAAACTCATGTTAGACCACGTTTAGGTTGCAATCAGATGAAAATATGACATGAAATTGATATGTACAATGTTTGTCAAACAGATTATAAGGGTTTAGAGACGAATGACTGGCTGCCAGGTTGGCTGCTGCCTAATGTCCTTTCCCAAAACAATAAAGTGTGAACAAGGACATCACACCACCATTGTATGATGGTGGGTTAGGTTTGGAGGGTGCCATAAGCCAGGATTTTTATTAATTGCCCAACAAATGGTCACAGACGCGCATGCCTACATGTGTTTGGCACTGGCATCAATCTCAACCCCCCTTAAACCACAATGAGATACAGTAGCAAGCCCTGGCTGGCTGCACACAAACACACACATGTTTTCATTTGTTATTAAAAATTTGTTAAATTGAATGTCATTTCGGCCAAAGGAAATGCTCGGCATTAACATCAAATCAACACATCATCATCATAAGCATTGTCATGAACATCAACATTTTTATGATGCAACAACACGCCACCAACAGCAACAACAATGGCTACACACAAAGTGCACACTTTAATCCTAATCCTCCCGTATAAAAGGCAACATTTTCATGGACCGGCGGATGAATGACGTGATTATGGAACCCCCTCAAATGGCAGTGTAGTTTATTAACGAATTGTGATCTTCAGATCGCAATCGTAATCATGATCATGATATCAATGGTTAAATGTATATTTCATGTTTGTTTCCTTTTCTCTTGTTCTGGACAATGATTACTTCAAAGGATAATAACCAGTTTAGAAGAGAAACACTAATGAAATTTTTGACTCGTGTCTAATTTTAAAAATGTGGGCTTTTCAATTTGTTTGTTTTTTTTTTACAAACTGTCAAGGGGATTTAAAAAATACTTATTTTAGAGGATACCTGAAAAACAATACATTTGGCATGCGCAGAGAAAAATTTACTTGCGCATAAGCCTTTTCCACAGACGAGAAACAAGAGAAAGCTTTTAGAAATCTCCCAAAGAATTGGGCTTTGAGAAATGGCTTTATTAATCTTCATTCCCTCCACCTCCTTTGGACTACACAATTAAAAAACATTTATAAAAAACTTGTAACCGATTTTTGCTAATATTTTCCCAACGCCAGAAATTCCATGAAAAAAAAAAAAAAACAAAATCCTTCTACACCTGGCCAATTCCTTTACATAGACTAACTCATTGCCGCACACAAATGACTTTTTAACATAATTTTGTAACGTATTTCTCCCACCACCTACCTACCTATCAGGCGGTAGTCAGTTAGTAAATAAGTGGTAGGTTTTATTTTCTTGCGCCTGCCTCATGGAAGTCATGCTTAGGTGCGCACATATCACCCACTTAAAGGACATTTGTAGAGGAACACTTAACATAAGGTTAACAGAAGACATATGGTGACCAGTAAACCTTTGACAGTGGGTTGCTCGCATTAAGAGTTGGTGGGAAAAAAGGATATTTTCCAGAAATTGTTGGCAAACAATCAAAATTATTTTAAAGTTGTGGGAAACATTGTGAGAAAATTGTATTATCAAAATGATGGGGTGGTGGAAGGCAACAAATGTCGTTACTTTGCAAAATAATAATTAAGGCTTCAAATATTTGACCTCTTCGTTTTAATAATTTAATTTTAAGAAAATTTTGAATTTGTTTAGGCAATCTATTTCTCTAATAGAAAACTATGTTGAAAAATTATAACAAATCAATATTGGATAGATGTGCTTTAAAATTTAATTTTGTTTTCTTTACTATATGGAACATTAGTTCTGAAGTACCTGCCTTGTAATCATATACGGAAAAATAATTAAAACATTTAAAAATCAATATAATGGGTAAGATCCTAAGCTGAAACAATGAACCTTCTAATTTAACTTGAAAAGAGGGTTTGTTAAAATTTGAATAATTTCCCATAACTTTATGAATTTTTATTTACGACATGAATTATATTTATTGAATTGTATACTGCGCAGCGTTAAGTATTAGTTACTGTCGTTAAAACCCTTTTTTGAATTCTTAAACTGAAGGATGTAACCTAAGTTTTGTCTCCTCTGCTAGAAATCTGCCCACTCACTTTTACTTGCATCACAACATTCAAACGGTGAGCATCAAATCTTCTCCTATTCTCTATTTCTCCCCTATTTGTTATTTTATAAAGTGCGCTTTATAACATTTTTGGAAACCTATTTTATTATTATTTCTTGCTTTATCACCAACGCAATAATATTTCCCTTTGGTTGCGAAATAATATTGCCAAACATTCATCATTTCATATACAGTCCACCTTAAGGTTTGGAATTGGAATCTCCCTAACCCCGTAAGGATTACAAGTAGCATTAAAAGTACGATCTTTATATAATAACCATGAGGCGAAATATTTTTTTAAATATATAAAATGAAATTGTTTTTTTTTTAATTTAAAAAAAAATAACCCAAGAATTTCAAAAAAAAAAAACTATTTCAAAAATATGCCCTAATGCTTTAAATTACAATTCTATGCTGACTTATTTGTTTTTTCATAATTTTAATAAAAAAAATTTAATTTTGTTTTTAACTTACCATTTTCTCTTTCATTGCGATCCTCGCTGCTGTGAATTGACGAACCGGTATGAGCCTCTCCGTTCATTAAGGAATCATTATGATCCTGATATGGTGATGTAGGTCGACCGTCAACTATCATTTCTTCACCAGCTGCAATATCACGATTTGCTTCGTACCATAACTAAAAATAGGTAACATTATTTTAAATCTTTTTTAAAATATTTTTTACAAAAAATGCATCTTACATATCCTGCTATACAAAATGTTGTTAGATTAGCCTCTTTATCATTGTCCACAGAGGTGACTGTGCGAATTTTCTTCAATAAATTCTTAACTTCGGGCGAGGGTTGCAGTAGATTACGTATGTGGGGCATGTTTAAGAGCTGGAAGTTAAAATGAAATAAAAAGAAAAAACTCGTTAATATTTTTCGGAAAAAAAAATAAATGAAAACCTATATACATGGGAGGGCTCTGTTAATTTGTTTATGTCGAGCAGCGCCATCTATTGGTGTGTAGTAGTAATTGGCGATTTCTTCAATGTTAAATACAAATGTGGGTTGTGTCTTGACTAATCACGGCTATGTTAATTTAAAAAATCCTGTTAATGTGAAATGTCAAGGGGAATGTAGGAAGAGACCTTTTAGAAAATGTAGACAACTGGGCAAATATTAATATTTTATTAATTAAAATTTTGACTTGTTCTATTCCAAGAATCATTCGATCATTTTTTGGAAATGGGAAATTTTTATAATTTTTTTAATAAGAGATATAGAGGGGTTGTCATCCGGTTAAAAAAATAATGAATAAATAGATGGATAGGATGTAAGTTAGTTATAAAGATAGTTAAATACACATATATATGTAGATATTTAGATAAATGTATAGATAAACAAATCTAGGATCAAATCTGCTCCATTTACGAAGAAGTTGTCAAATACATAGTTGAGCTCATCTCTAGATATTTATTCTTATTATTTTAATCTTAAAACATTTTCCTTCTTCCCAACTCCCCCTGCCCTGTAATAGAAAAAATAATTAATTTTTAAGGACATTTTACCCTCAAAATTTATTGCAGAAATTACTTGCACATGTTTCCGTGTACGGATAAGAAAACAAAAAAGCAGAAGTCTTATTTCAACACAATTGATTTGATTTACGTTCGAAACCCTTTTTCTTTCGGCTCGCCAACAATAAAAATTTTCCAATAAATCCTTTACGTGTTGTCCTGCAGATTTCATGTCATGTTCGCCTTAGTTATTAGAAGTTTCTTTTTAACCATTCTAACGAAATTATAATTAATGAATTGTGGTCGAATGACAATCGAAAATTAATTACAAGAAAGACAAGAAGCCACACAACATTTCTTACGAAGACGATAGCCGGTAGCAACCAACAATGATGATTTGCGTGCAGCACAAACCCTAAGGAAGACGTCACACTGTCTGCCTAGGAAAACGAAAGAAGACAATTTGGACAAAGAGCTGCCTTAAGACATACAGGCGACTAGCCAGCCATAAGTGCGGTCTCAAGGGACTGTGGTTATGGTTAATGTGTTACAAAAAGGAGGAGATAGTAATTTTTTCCAAAGATAAATACTAAAGTGTGCGTGACCAGCGAGCCAGAGAGACTTATGGCAAATGTTTGGGGTTGTGCCAAATGGATTTTACAGTTAGTTTTAGAAAATTATTATCAGTTCATAAAAATTAGTTAGAAAAAATATTGATTTTGTTTTTGTTGTTGTGGCATCTCAGCAGGGCTTCAATGTCTTTGAACCACTGCTGGGTTTGTGTGTGTAATTCATAATAATCAGCCTCATCATCATCATCGTCCTGGTCGGAAACCCTTTATGGTCTACAACAGCATTTGAGTTTTAAATGCCAAACAATTGATGGCGATTATTCCGACTGTTGAGTAGCCAGATGAGGATGATGATGCTGCTGCTGATAAAGAAGTCTCGTCTCGCCTGGCTTTAAATTAATTGGAGTGTAAGCATTCCATGCCCAATAACTTTTCAATGGAGGGTGTTGGTGGTGGTGGTTAGGGCTAGCTTCTTGACTAAAGGTTTCAACTTTACAAAGTTCATAACTTCAACATTCTCCAAATGTCTGTTCAAGCAATCATCGTCTATCCCAAAGCAGACGTATGCTTATCCTTTTTCCCTTCTTTTTTTTGCCCGGCATTCATTCACTCCTCTATTGTTGTTGGACTTCTAGCTTTAGCGTTAAGTTGTTTCATGCGGCGTTTTTTGTTAAACATGTGTACCCACTTGGCTGTTGTTTTACACCAACTTGTTGTTTTTTCTTTTTTTTGCATTTTCATTTTTTCGATTCCGCCTGCTACTGTGGCGTGTTATGTGTGTGTGACCCTTATTGGTTAACTCATTTGGAAAAACGTCGGTTATTTTAAACAACAACAATAATATTCTCTTGGAACTTTTGTGTTGTGTTGGCGTTTTTTGTATATCCCGCTGCTGTTGTTTGTAGTAGTTTGGATGAGTAGAACATTTTTTTTTTTGTTATTAAGTGGCTTCTGTGCCGCGTTCCAGCATCAGCAACACGCTCCAAAAATTATATTATTTTAATATGAGAACATATATGAAAACTCATCAGCATTATGTGACGATGATTCTTTGCGAGAGCAAAATAAACGCATGCAAATGTAAAGCTCCTTAACCATCCATCCATCCTTCCTCCTCAAGTTTGTTTCACTGGCTTGCCGTGATTTTTGAAGAGGATTTTCAAGAGTTTTAAATTAAATGGTGACACATGTATAAGTTGGTGTGTGTGTGTGTGTGAGTATGTGCGTGTGTCTACATGGGCATATGTTTAGCTTGCTCATTTACTCAAGTGAAGAAAGTTCTTAATCCCTTCCAGCTTATTTCCCATTGGATCATCCAGGGGGTGGAGAGTAAAGTTTTTTTTATAGAATTAAAATTTAAACAAACTCCTAAAATGGCTATAAAAAGTTGACGTGAAACTCATTTCTGTAAATGGTTCCCGGAACCACTTTTAAAAATTTGAAATATAGGAAAAAAAATTAAAAGAAGTTGATTTAAAATTACAGAGTGAAATGAAAAAACTGCAATCAACTTCAGACTGCTGTCATTTCGAAGCCACAAGTCCGACAGCTGTTAAAATTATCCCAGCATTTTTTTAAAGGATTTTGGAGAAAACTTTGCAGAAAAAGAAGTTATTCGTGCCACCCAAGAATATTTGCTAAATCAGGTCTCTCGCTTCATTTTCAGCACACAATGACGATCAAAATCTCCGGATACCAATCCGTTGGACTATTGTTTCTGGAGTATTTTGGAAAGCAAGGTTGGCACTAAAAAATACCAAATTGTCGATCACCTCAAGCAAGCGCTTTGGCGGGAATGGGCTAAAATAGGGCAGAGCAACATTCGGACAGCGTGTGACGATTTCATTGGCCGTTTGAAGGCCATTATTCGTGCCAAACGTAGCCAATTCGAACAAATCAAAACTTATTCTAAAATTTGATGATATTTCCGAAATTTTTTTGCATTCGTTCAATAAAATTAAAAATATTAAAAATTATGGGTTTTGACTTTGTTGCTGTTTTTTTTTTTATCTCACCCTGTATATACACTGCACTAATAATTTAAGAATATTTTGTAGACCCTATTCCGATAAGTGTGATTAAGGATTTTAAAATATCAATAATTGGGGTTATAACGGTATACCAATAATTGTTAAAACCTAGATCTACATTTCACTATTTTTCGAGGATCTATGAATGCTATAGAGTCGTTAGAGCTATATGAAGCTTCCGTCAAATGAGAATCGATTTTTGATATTTCAAATCTGCTTTCAATTCGATTTCAAATTGCCAAATTGCAGATATGCCTTTTGAAACTTGGAACAGAAGCCTTCAGATTATCGAATATGCTGTACTGATATTCGTTATTCTAAATGGGGTTTACGAATTAAGGGATCTACACTGAAAATTTCCTACAGGGCGTGATTGAATCCTCTTTAGACTGGAATATGGAAAAAAATAAATTTATACTTCAAGCCTGTAGGTACCGCTACATGGAGGTCTAAGACAAGTAGTATTGAATATTTTTGGGGTAAGAAATTGCAAATGCTTTTCTGTGGGAAATTAAAGGTTCAAATTTTGAAAATATCGATAAGCAGAAGGCACCGTTTTATGAGTGAGGAATATACCTAAACATGGATCGATATGACCCATTTCCAATACAAAATTTTCTTGACACAATGAATATTCTTCATTCTAATGCCCTGTTTCAAATAGTTTGGTAAACACAGGTTACAATTTAAATATTGTCATCAGATTTGTTAAATACCTCTGATATAACATGCTTATTATCAATTGCGTTTAACTTTGAAATTTGTAACAAAATTGGGGTTTTTGACCAGGACGTGCGCAACAACATCCTTCGAAACCATATCGAAGCGGTAAAAAAATTAAGGAACTAAATTTTGAAAGGGCTTGCTTCCTCCGTGCTTCCCCATCCCTGCGTACGTCCTTGATTCTGGCAAATTAAAATCTAATTTCTTGACTCTACGTAGCGGAAGTATTTCACTTCCACACTCTCTAACATCATCTTATCAATTGGATGTCCCTTGATCTTTCTTTAATCCTTGCCAATATCAAATTTCTATATCTATAACAATATGTTTCTATTTTTTTATTTATTTTTATTATTATCCTTGCCCAGAGATAATATTTTGTGTGTAAACCCTGTCTTAGGACATCTTAAGATCATGTAACACTTTCACAAAAAACAGAAACATGAAATTAGATGTCTCCAATTTCATGACAATACAAAAAAATGAGTTTTCACATGTTTTCTTCGGCTTTGAAAAAAATGAAACAAAAAAACGACAATCTATTTACTAGCATCTCGTTCTTTATCGAGGCAATGAAATATGACATTTCAGACAACAACAACAACATTCGAAAACAGAAACAATATTCGTCAAGACAATAATGCCAAGGACATGGCCAATTGATATGACAACACTGCCAAGAAGAGATCAGTTTAATCCCATCTGAATGGAGGATTAGTAGCTGCAAATTTGTGCCTTCCTTCTGGTGCTTCCTGTTCCATTTATCTCCTGGCAAAGCCAGTTTTGTCTGGCAATGACAATGGCCAAACGGAGGCATTTGAATTATGAAAATTGGGTTGTCAGCCAGTTTAGCACATTTTTATGTTCGAAATCATTGTTGTTTGTTGCAGATTTAAATAAAACCATAACACATAAATTGCACCTTTTTTTGCTTTGGTGGCCGTTGACACAACAAAAACAAGAGGCAGCAAGGATGAGCCCTGGCTATGCAAAAAGAAAATATGAAAAATAATATTTACATTACATTTGCCCCTTTACAAATTGTTGTGGTGCGATGTGCAAATTTTTTTCCAATTTTTCAAAAAATATTTATTTAGTGGATGTTCACACTTGGTGGGTTACAGAAACCCAACAATAACAACAAGGACCTCTAGTCCATGTTCACATTTCAATTTCGAGTGTCTCACAAAAAACAAGGGCAATCAAACAGAGAATAAACATGAAAGGCATTCCTCTCAGCATTACCTGGCCTATCTTCAATTGGATTGTCTGTCTGTCAATCGATTGCCAGGCTCGCTCGCCCAGAAGATACAGATGATGTTTGTTCGGCTCTATTGTTATTGTTGTAACACAAAATAAAGCTGTTCATCTGGTGTGAAAATGAGAACGAGTGTGACAAGCCCCTAATTGGAATTATCTTGCGTTTGAATTTAAGCCTCATTTAGGGACACTTTGTGGATTTGCCTGCTTGCTGTTTCCTCGGTGAGGAAATTAGCTCTGGTTTGAGGCAATGTGTGTGTGGAGGATTTTTTACTTATTAATATCGTCCTTGAAGTTATTGTTGTTGATATTGTCTGTCCGTTGGGAGGAGATTATCCTTTAACGGTTGGCAATTGTGCATTCCTTGCTGGCTGCTGCCTGGCGTTAATTTCCTTATTGATTTGTCAGTCAAATTGAAGAGTATCACTCTCACTTCCCTCAACGGTCACTCAAGCATTTCCCAAGCGTGACAATGGCAGTCATTGGTGGTGGTGGTCGTGGCGTCTTTTTTTAATTAAATATTTTCCCAATCACTTAATTTTCACCCAAAAATTGCCAACATTTTTCCCTGATCGATTTTTCTTTGCCTTTTTCGAAAATTCAAAATTCATTTGCTTGCCAGGGATTTGTTGGGTTATGCTGTAACAGGATTAAATTACAAACACACACAGGATGTGTCAAAGACACTAACACTAACGCACACATGTTGGAAATGTGATCTGCTTTAGTTTGGCAAAAATAGAAATACAATTTGCGCAAAATTTGACTTATTTTTGTGCCAAAAAATCGGAAATATTTTTGTCAACAGATGTGAAAGGATTAACGTACGTTACGAATGCCGATGATGATGACGATGTCCTTTGTCTTTGACTTATATCCCATATTTATTTCCTGTTTTCTCATAAATGTCACTCTTTCATACTTACATCCCATGCATTTGTTTTGTCCGTTGGTTCGCTCATGGCAAACGGTCCAAATCGGGTGCCACGTCGCAGATGTTGTTTGGCAAAGACACCATTTTCACGTGGCGTTAAATCACAGACGGGTTCCTGGAGACGGGTCATGCCCAGCAGTAGGTTTTCGGCTTGCAGTTTACTGCTAAGTAACTGCTCCATTTGGGCGGGTGTGGTATGATGCAGGCCAGAATTGTTTAGAAATCCTCCGGGACTGGTGGTTAGTGGAGAATTTGCATCCGGCAAGCCGGTGTTTCTTGGCGGTGATTCACTGCCTCGATAGCCGTTCAGTGGTGACTGTTGATGGTGTTGCTGCGTGTGATGATGATAACTACTCAGATCTGTACTGTGGGCACTCAACGCCAACGGATGGGCCGAATTGGGAGAGATCAAATTGTGAGGAAACTGTTTGAATGCACCCAAATCGTAATCGTCACTTGTGCTGCCTGAAAAGGAAATGAAGGAGGGGTAATTTAATTAGAAAATTGGATAATAGTTTTGAGGGGATTTCAAAGGAGATAACTCTCAACGACTCTGCGAGTGTTAAATAGTAGCGTTTTTAAAAAAAGAACAATTATTTCCCTTTGCCCTTAAATGAGAAGTTATTGTGTTATTCCGACGTATTGATTTTGATTTTCTGACAGTATTTTATTAAAGTCAAAATGAGGACCTAACCATTTTATATAGATTTTTAAAGCTTTAATATTTGATTAGTTGATAGGTGTTGAAAATGGGATTCATCTGTCCATGTTGTAGTACAAAGGCCCATGTAAAATTTCACCTAATTTCGATATTATAAATAGTTTAGACAAAATATCCAACCGAACGAGCTGCAGTTTGAAATTTATGGTCCTTAGGATATAAAATCCTTTTATGTAAGAAATATTCAATATGGGGCCAGTATCTGGCATAGTAACTGTAAATGGCGATACTTTTGGAAATAGGTACTTTGGACGTTTAGCTCACGTTTTCCAAATTGTTTGATAAAGGTCCAGATTTTGGAAAATGTTGTTCATTTAACATTATTCTCCAATTGTTATTTTTTTTTAAGGTCCCTGTACACTTTTTCTGGTACAATTTGGATTTATGGATCCGCAACAGGACAACAAGATTTTTTTTTCAAATCCTATTTTTTTGTTTTCTTCCAGCCCTATACCTAAACTGGAAGAAAACAAACAAAGCTACTAACAAATTCGGCAATCTTGACCCTATGAATATATGTTGAGAGATAAAATGCTCCATACATCTATCAATATAAAGCAGAACTCCGAAAAGCTCACTCGAATACGAGAAAAGAGTGAAAATAGCTCGAAGCTGAGCGGGATCACTCCTGGGAATAAGAAAACAAAACGAGTAAAACACTATTTTTCGGTTTCCCTCGAATAATAATATTGGGGATAAAGGGCCCCATAACTCTATCAATATAAAGCAGAACTCCGAGAAATTCGTTCAAATTCGAGAAAAGAGTGAAACTCGCTCGAAGTTGAGCGGGATCACTCCTGGGAATCGAAAAAACAAAAAGAGCAAAATCCTATTTTTCGGCGTCCCTCGAATAAGGGCGAGTACGATTTGTTCATATTAGAGTAGAAGTAAAATTCGTTCAAAAACGAGCCTATTCTACTCTCACCGAGCTCTCTTTTAGTTTTTGCCATAAGTTTGGTGTATTTCTATGTAAATATATTTTTTCGGCACATCCAACCCCCTCTTTTACAGTACAAAACAGCATCCATCCCGTTTCAAAAAACCACAATTTAGAAAACCAAATATTTTTTCATCCGAGTTCATTCTCAGAGCAAACTCTCACTGTATTTCTAATGAGTTGGCTCCCACTTTAACAGAAGTGACTCGGAAGCGCTCCCAAGCCAAAACAAAAGAGAGAAAAGTGAACTCCCGATAAAACTCCCACTCTTCGAGCAATGCCGCTCGCGAGCAATTTCCATCTCCAGGTGAAAACGAGCAAAACCCGGAAATTACCTAGAACCCTTTTTTATATGTCTCAAAAAACTATGGCAGATTGTCATGGAAGGATAAAGTTAAGGATAATGAAATGTCTTTGGAAAACAGTATTCATTTGATTTCACTGGAGGAATTACAATTTCAAAGCCGGCATAACTCTGAAAATTGAAATATTTCAAATCTAGAATTCAATATTCTAAAGTATGCTTATCAAGGGTTATTTTCCCAAAAAGGAAATATAGCCAAATCTCTTTAAACAATATTTCCTTAATATTTTATTAAAAAATAAAGTCTCTTTTTTAAGATCTGAAAAAATTCCTTCCCACTTCCCAAAAGCCCACCTGCAAAGAAAGCTTGTCGTTATTTTTTAGTAAACTTTTTTTACGTCACAACGCCAAAACAAATTGTATATTCAAATAAAATCTCAAAAACCCCATTGATAGTGTCTAGCCAAAACCCCCACAGATATGACATTAAAATAGAGCACTGTCTCAACTACTTCACTAATCGTCTTGTCATAAGATTACCAAATCCATTTTCTATTAATTTCACACGTATTTCGTTCGATACGTAAATACTATTTTTTTTTTTTTGGTTTCAAATTAAATGTCCCAATGTCCAAATAGATAATGATAAGACAGTATAAATAAAATGTATTTAAAAATACGTTCGTTTTCGTGAGCAGATATCGAGTGAAGAGCTAAGCCAACACTCGTCGTTTTTATCGGCGGCGAATAATCTGACAATAGAGTTAATGGGGGGAAATTGGCATTATCGTAGGATGTCCATCAAATTATGGCTTGTTTCCAAAAAAAAAAGTTTGTCTGGCTTGACAAGGTGTTTGGAAAAGAGGAGAGGAGGGGGGACAATGAAAGAATGTCAAAGATGTAGACGTTACTGGATTCACCCATAAACGCTGAAAATATCAGCAATGATTGACACTTTTAAAACGCTGACAGACAATGATGTCAAAAGAAGCTTTCATTTTGTTTTGTTGATAGCTACAGCTCTGGAATAGTACTCCATGAGATAAGCCGTCATGAGATAGGTAAAAAGCAAACAGCAAAACGGTGTTGTTGTTGTTAGATTCTCAAGTAAAATCATGACCTTGTGTGAGGTCCTTGTGTTTTTGATGCTAACTAGGCGCTAGGTACATGGTGTTTGAGTTGTTTGTGTTATTTTAAAGGATTCCATTGTTAACAGGACCATGATGAGGTTGCTGGAACGGTGATTGGGTAATATTTGTGTGTTGTTCAGTGGTTTACCGCTTTTAGTTAAACACTTTGGCGTATTTATCTTTGTGGCCAAGTGTGAAAATTCTCAAATGTTGTTTATGGCCTTGTTAACAAGGTTGTTGGCAACTTATTTTCCTTTTTTTTCGGTTGTTGCCCTAATTACATGAGATTTTCAAGATTAACACTTGTTTCTGGGATAACTATCTGAGGACCACTTGAGCAGGTAAATATTGATACAGGCTCTCATAGGAGATATGAAACAGAAAAACGAAACAGATAAGTGAATAGTTAAATTTTACAATTCGAATGCAGCAAGTTGTGCTATGACCAATGACTAATAATAATTTTATTAATCACACCACACCTCAAAACCTAGATAAGAAAATGTATATTTTCATTTCGGAATTTTAATATTTTCCTCGCTTAGAAGGCGACCTCCCTATGATTCATATTTTTAAGAATGCGCAGAGGTATCGTGACACGCCTTGGACCAGATGTTAGTGATACGTGTGTGTCGGTTGTGGTAAACATTTTCGAACTAAAATAGATCCTCTAACGTTCTGTGGTGTCGAGACTGTTACATAAGGTAAAGAATTAATTTTTGCATTGTGGTTAATAGAAATTCGCGCCAACCTGAACAGAAATACATTTTGCATTAAAGGTATGGCAAATATCGATGAGTGGTATTTGTTGGTTACCTCCTCCAATGAATCAGCATCCTAAGCGGTATATTTGTACAACGAAGGCTATGAAAAAATCGGTATCTATGAAAAATCTGATCTTAGAAATACATGTCGAACCCATTTCATAACTATCCAATGTAAAATTTACAAAAATTATCGGAAAAATAACCATCCTGTATACTTTTTCTATTATGTATTTAAAATGACGAATCCCATCCCAAGGTAACGAGTTTCCTCTTGATATCATTTTATGTTGTCCTCTAGGCTATTTTGTCGATTTGTTTGTCCAGATATTACATTTCTAAAATTGTCCCTAATTTTACTATTTCTAATCAAGTGACTGCAGTGCAAATTTGAACCAAATGTTCCATGGGTTTAACTTTAGAAACGAATCGGAGTCCGGTTTTGCTTTAAAGTTCATAAAGCTGGTGCTACACACGAGCAGGCAACAAGGGCATTTCACTTTGTGCCTAACATGTATTTTTTGGAGTAAAATCGTGCACCTCGAACCAGATATTTTTCTAACAGAAGTTCTACAAAACCAACCGATTTTTTTTTCTTTGGTTTCAATTGTAAAAGGAATAAAAGAAGACACACGTATGGAATTCAGTGTGAAGATAATATTTAGTATCTTAAAATCTCCTAAAATAGCTTTTGAGAAAAATAGGTTCATCGGACATAGAACTTCGGACTTCTTCAATAAATTCTTTTCCAAGATTTGATTTTGATACTCCTAGGAAAATTTAAATTCGATTCAATTAAGTGTGTTTGGTTTTCTAGAACACAGTGAGAATTAGAAACTCCTATTGAAGGACCTTTTAAAATCACTCTTAAGCAGCTCTAAATTTAGTGTATACCATACTCATACACTCGGAAAGTTTTTCTAAGGAATTTCTAAGAAAAAAAATTATTGGGGTCTGTAAACGAACTCGCTGCGAATTCGTATGAAAATCCGGAGAGATTCTCGATTTGGTATGTTTTTTGCAGAGATATTTGCGAGTGTGTTTAGATATTCGCAAGAAACATAGGAAAATGTAGAAAGATTCTTGAAATAATTCAGAAAATCGGTCCAGATTCTAAAGAAGTTTCGAGAAATCGACAAATTTCTAAAAATAAAAAATAGGAATCTCGGAAGAATGTCCAAAATCAGAGCCTCCGGAAAAACTTGTTAGCTATGTATTTTACATTTTTTTTTTACATTTATCTGGAGGCATCTAAATTAATTAATAGCAAATCCTCATTGTCATGGGCTCTCAAACCCATCCAAATCAAAACAAAAGAACTTTTACAGAAGTCTATTGTCCCGAAGTCTACTAAAAGTAGGTTCTATTTCTTAAACATTACTTCTTAATTAAAGGTCCTTGTAAAGTTTTTGAACTGTAGGAGCTATAAATTGGAATCATGTATCCGTAACCGGCCAAATGTTAGAAATTTGAAAAATAAGTGATTGAGTCCAATCTAAATTTATACCAAGTCAAATGGTCTACATAGGTCGACACTGCTGATTTAGCTCTGTTTTTATCTGTGTAAATCATTCTAATGTAATTTCCTTCATTCATATGCCTCTTTCTT